ATATATATATATTATATATATATATATATATATATATACATACATATATTATTTAGATTAGAGTTCTCATGTGTGCAGTATATTATATGTAAGTTGTGCTTGTATGAGATGTTTGAATGTGTTGTATAAATATATTAGAAATTGTATGAATGTTGCAGCATATATGATTATAAAAGTAAGAGTGAATGAAAGAAAGAGAGAATAAAAACGAAAGAAAAAGGAGAGAAGGAGAAAGAGGAAAAGAGAACCATGGTAATGATATGTACATAAACGTGACATATGTCGTTATGAACATACATATACATACGGATATATCCACCGTATATACATGTGTGTATGTGATCATATATTTATTTGTGTTGGAGAATTGTATGAACGGGTCTTCTGAATAGAATTTGAGGTTTAGATACGATAATGTTTCTATCTAACAATAGACTTGAGGCTTATCATAAGGGTATTTAATATAAAAACGTTTGTTGAGGGTATTTAATATAAAAAACGTTTGTTGAGAAGTGATCCTTACGGTATGCCTCATATTGTTTAGAAAATATGCTACATTACGTTGCAATTTGCTCATTCGTTTATAAAGGATCTTATAAAGAAATATTTATCTTATAAATTATATAATTTAAATTTATTAAACTTAATATAGAATATACATTAAGTTTGATTTCCAAATTCACACACTTACGCGTGTGCGTGTGTGTGTTATTTTGGTTTACCGAAGTTTTGATAATTTAATTTAATGAAAACTAATAACGTATTAAAAATATGTCACAAATTAATTGTTAGATAATATTAAGAAAAAATTAATTTTGTTGCCTTAAAAATATGATGATATGAGATTTTGTATGCCTAGTGTAGCATATTTTGAAAAATATTTCTTGTTTAATTGTACATATGAACAGTTATTTTAAGTAATGCAGTGTGATTGATATATGATGTATATACGGAAGCCAAATGCGTATGTGTCTATTACGCATTGGAATAGGAGATGATTATGTTAAAAATATGCTATTTATGTGTAGAATAGTCTAAAAGACTTTCTACTTAAGATCATCGGAGTTTAAAAAGAATAAAATGAGGGTTCTTTATCAATAGAAACGATATATAACAGCGAAATAACAAGACAGCACTGGACAGAACTTGATTATTAAAATAAGTAACAAAGACGAGGCAGACATGTGTCTAAGACACGTGTATGATGGTGATTAAGTGAGTGAAAAGAGAAAACCATTTATTGAGATAATATAATGAGATATGATGATAAGATGAAATGTTATATTTTTGTAGATTTGTTATTGCGTAAAATGCATTAGGACAATGAAAAACTTTATATAATTTGAGTAAAATAACAATTATTGAGCCTGAGAATAGTTACAGGAGTAAGATCTTATAAAAGAGAGAGAAAGGAAGAGAGAAAGGGAGACAAGAGAGAGAGAGAGAAAGAGAGAAAGAGGAGGAAGGTACTTTAATGGCATATTGAGGAAATCGCGGATAAATTTTGTACGAAAAAAAAAAAGAAACGAATTTCATATTCTCCTACACTTCTGAAGCTCTCAGTTTACTGAGTTGCATGTAGGAACAGAAAAAATATATATCTTATGTATGAATAACAGATATGAATTACTAATAAAATTACTAACTAATGTCAGCTTTGATGTGCGTCAGATATACGTGAAAATAATTCCATTGTTTCACGCGATGCATATGTGAAGTAATCAACATTTACTTAACGTATTTGTCACACGATGAGCGTTTGTAAATGACAAAGTTTTACGGATACATATAATATGATTTTATAATCACTCGAGTCTCGTAACTTACAATTAACATAACACAACGCTTACGATTACTTTGCAAAGTACGTTGCAATGCACCAAGTACGATCGTCGGTATGATATTCCCTTCTAAGTATAAATTTTGAGAATCGACGAAATCGTTCATTCTGAACGTACATATACACATTTACACATACTACATGTAACACGTACTAGAAGCCGACTTTCTTGAATCTGACGAAATATGAATTTGAGAGTAAAATGCCACTTTACGTTTTCACGTAAAGGTAGATGATTTTCTTTATGAGAAATCGAACTCTTGATACATACCAGATATAAAACAAAGATACAAATAATGATGTACGCAACGTGACCAGTTGCTGCTGCACTGATATGAGTATGCAACAATGATATAATAACGTGAAATAATTTAATGTAAACGCGAAGCGTTATGTAAAAATGAAAAAAGAAAAAAGAGGATTCACATTGAATACAGCAGAAAACAGAAATGTTGAAAATAAGAAAACTCGCACTAACGTAAAAAACAGGCGTGTTTATAATATAAAGTGTGCCTGTTTTTCGTTGTAATAAGTAGAAAAGTGGGGCCCACAAAACTCGTCTATGATACTGACATACCATTAAAACTTATATCTATCATATTTATGAACAATCTATGATCTAATGATCTTTAAAACATTGTGTGTTGTGAACAGATTATTAATAACAGAAAATTAATTATACATCGAGTAAATATTGACTCTTGATAATCTTACTGGAATGACACAAATGACTACTATAACAATAAAACGATCAAATGAATTGCTAAATTCGTTTTATATGTGTGATATGTCACAGTACGAAACATATAAAATATTGCAGCGTATAATAATATTCGATTTTTCGAAATTACTATTTTTATTTCATTTTAATGCTACTTTTCTAGCACAGACTATACGATATGGCCAAGTAGGATTCATTAATTAACGTTTTAAATGTATATACTTATGAACAGTTGGTTTTTTTATGCAAAAATCCCATTTTCATATCTCTATTGTTACTGTTTTCTTTCTTTCATACTTTATGGAGTGTTAAGTTGTCTTGCAAAATTCAGAAAAGGGAGTTTCATTTAATAACTTATTTTAAATAATAATTAAGAAAAGAGAAAAAGATATATATTTTATGTTTCTCATATACTTTAGATGTATGCACAATGATAAATATTATTTGTATATCATCTGTTTTTTTTTATTTTTTCATTTTTTTATCTTCTAACTGTAGCCTATGTGAGTAGAATCGATTTTTTTCATAGTAATCCGACGATAAGCATAATAATGGAAAGATGAATCCCTGGGTTTTACTCAACATTTATAAATTTTAAGTTTTTCTTAACGTAGTTTCTTGCTTGTAATATGAAATATAAAGTAACGATAGCAAATGCGAATATAACGTAATAAAGAAAAAAATAAAAAAAAGATAACGAAACTTATCGAAGTAGATGAAAAACGCATGTGGGCCCTACACACTCACACATACACACACACACACACACACACACACACACTACTTTATATATTCTTATTAAATATTACATAACATATACTACGC